CAGAAATCGATTGATTTTGGTCCGCCAATACATCGTTCAAAAAAATAATTTTGCACCGATTTCTTTTTAATTTTTGTTACCAAGTTTCTTTGCTGCCTGTAATTCTCCCAATTTTTACTCGATCTATGTTTTAAAAATTTATTATGCAATATTTTCTTTTTGTAAATTGCTTGTCGTAAGGTTTTGTTCATAAAAGGGGCAGGATTTGGTATAAATTTTCTTGTCTTTAAGGGGACATGCTTATTGACCACTTTTAAAAAAAGATTTTTCAAAATTTTCATATGACGTATCAGTGTCAGCATGTTCAATTATAATTTCTAATTGTTCTGATTTAAGATCCTCCAAAAATTTGTCATGATCAAAATTTCTAAAACTTCTATATTTAACAGGTTCATTTTTTATCTTGGAGGCTTGTCCTTTTATCTGTACTGATATTAAGTTGTGGACATCACTCAAGCCACAGTTAAAATTTGTTACATTTTGGCAATTTTTAGGCTTGTTTGTAAGGATTACATCATTTAATGAGTCCAGAGGTCAGGTCTGGATACATTTGATCGGCTTATTACAATCGATACAGGGATGTTTAATTGGATCTGCATTTTGATGAATATCACCGCTCAATAAAATTGATAAAATTATAAAAATACTTAGATGGATTTTGTACTTTACGTTGTATCATAGTTGTTGTTGGTCGGCCATATTGAGTAATCGAGTTCATTCGGAAAAGCTTTTGTCAGTAGAACAAATTGTATTTACCTACATTTGTTGTTTGTACATGAATAGTAGCCGAGATTTTCTTGCAGTTCATGTTTTAAAGCAATAATTGTATATATATAGTCACTAGCTAGTTGGTGTTAGACGTACAAATATTCCAAATAACATAGAAGCTATATATTGTCACTGGGCCATCTTTGCCGCCGTTTTTTTTAAATACTATAAGCTTTTTTAAAGCATGGACAGTGAAATAAGGGGTTGTTCAAGAGCTAAGAAATGTTAAGTATGTTGTATAAAAAATGAATAGAAAATTGGATATTCAGTGCACAAAATGAGAATATATAAATTGCTCCGACTCCTTTGTCCTTTGCATGATTCCAGACAGTTAAGACCCTCGGAGAAGACGAAGAATATGCGACTACTGTTCAAAAATTTTGTCTGAATATATGTCTTACTGGGAAATATTGAAATCCTGGAAACTAGAAATGTAAGATATACGTAAAACAGGAATGTGTCCATAGTACACGGATGCCCCACTCGCACTATCATTTTCTATGTTCAGTGGACCGTGAAATTGGGGTCAAAACTCTAATTTGGCATTAAAATTAGAAAGATCATATCATAGGGAACATGTGTACGGGAGTTTCTCGCTGCATTGAAGACCCATTGGTGGCCTTCGGCTGTTGTCCGCTCTATGGTCGGGTTGTTGTCTCTTTGACACATTCCCCATTTCCATTCTCAATTTTAAGTTTCAAGTTGATTGGACTTCAACTTCCTCAAAAACTACCTTGACCAAAAAATTTAACCTTAAGCGGGACAGACGGACGGACGGACGAACGGACGGCGGACGCACAGACCAGAAAACATAATATTCCTACTACTATCGTAGAGGGTGGTAAAGGGGGGTGCTTGCACGGAAAAAACGTGAAATAAGACATAATTTCACGTTGAACGTGAAATAATTTCTGTCATGAACGTTGCACGAAAAATAAAGACTTTGATGTGAACCTTATGTGACTGAGTTACTGTCTTCTTGTATCTATAAACTCTGTTTTACTTGATATTCCCGATTTAGTATACACATTTATAATATAAATGGTTTACGGCTTTTAAAAAAGTATATAACGATCTTCTTAACTTTTAAAATGCAAATATACCACAGACACGAAAGTGTATTCTTGATCTATTTCATTGTCTTTATTAACAAGAATAAACTCGTTGTCATGTTATCCATGCCTACCACGACTCGTGGTTAAAAGTATCAGAAATAGGAAGTTTGAACTGACAGATGATGGAAAGTGCAAACACGTTAAAGTCGATTCTATTTAAAGTCATTCTTTTCATTTTACCAACTTGAAAAATTCCGCAAAGAATCGGCAATGAGGCAGCATGTATCTAGGAGATCCGAAAGTTGTTCACAAGTTAAAAACATATCAGATTTGAACTTAAGAAGTCATTATGTAAAGTTGTTTCTTCAAAAAATCTGACGGAAATATTTGTTGGATTGACGAAATGACGGAGCGTCTTTTTACCACAGAACACCACAGAATACCACAGAACACTCAAAATGTACCACAGAACACTCAAAATGTACCACAGAACTACACAAATTACAACAAAACTACTAAAGTTTGCCACAGAACAGTTAAATTACTTTATAAAACGCCAATCTAATAATTCAGAATTATATTATTTCTTTAATTCGGGTTACACCAATGACATGATGATTGACTGGATGAGAGAAAAATGATCATAACTTTCTTGTTATTTGGCATATTTTGTTTACATTTGGAGACCTTTGAGACACTAAACTAATGCATTGTAATAATGAAAATCTAAAATAAACATTAAAAAAAAGAGTTTTTAGAAAGAAAAAAAAAAAAATACAGTACGGTTTTCTCAGTCGCTGATCAATATACGCTTTGAATATATCGAACTGATCGATAAAAAGTGTTAATATCTCTTTTGTGTTACAATATTTTTTCGTGAAATTATGAAAGAGTTAATATTTCTCATATGTAACTATTTATTCTGTGAAATTAATAAACCTATAAGACAATAATTTTAATTTTTCTACTAAAATGATGGTGATCATCGGTTCACATTTTAATCTTAAATTTGTATTATCATAAAAATTGTATTCTTGAAATGACTTCACAATAATTAGAACAGGAAGACTGCTTTCAATATTCTATTTGATATAATATACTATCATCAATAATTGAATATTTACAAAATTCTTCATTGTTCGGATTCAAGTTGCCACCTGATTATATAAGGTATTTCAATTAAATGTATTTGATGTCACAGGTGTGATAATTTAAATGACATATTAATTGGCTTGATTGGTGATTACCACAAGTGTCAAAATTGGTTAATCTAATTAACATTCGGTACTTTAATTGTGTCGGTGAACTTGCTATGGTCAACATTAATTTTGGACTAAAAAATAAAGAATATATTTGTAAATGCTACATATATACCAGTTTTTTTTTTTCGATATAAAGTTTCAGTTCAACAATTTCAAAATGCATACAAAATTTGGTAAAAATCCGAAATATTGTTAAATGATTGGAGAAGATACACACACAACATAAGATTCCAAAAACAGTCATTGAGCTTGAACTTTTAATTGACAATCAAAAAGACGCACTTATAATATGTTATAAGTCAACTCAAATATTACTGTCCTACAACAACTTTAGATATCTTTTTGAAGTTTTATGTATAACTCTATAAATGGAGAAAACTTTGATGTACAAACATTAGCCAATTGTATTAACAACTCTAGATATCAGCTTAACAAATTACTTCATTAATCACTTTAATAAAGTTTAATTATTTGTTGACAACAACTTCAATAAAATGTCACATTAACCATTTTGATTATTTATTGTAACAACTCTTAACATAGAATTCATAAAAAAGTGACCAAAAAAAACACCTGCTAAAACAAAATAAATTTAACAAATAATTACGTAATGCATCTAAACATTTTCAATAAACTGCTTCGCTGAGCGCAGCTGGATACGCCCCCTTTTTTAATGAATAAAACCCCAAAACTTAGAAACGGTAAATCCGAAATTTATGTCAAACGAAAGGGAGCTCACGTCAATAGATATAAACAATGCACCAAAGTTTCATGCATATTGGTTAAAGCATTTTTGAATTAATGTTGACGACGGACGGACAGACGGTCAGCGGTATACCATAATACGTCCCGCAAACGGGCGTATAAAATGAATTAAAATTACAAAAAAAGATTAAAATGTATTTAAAATATAAATGTCACAAATATAAATATATTATGGTTTTAAAAGCTAGGGGTTTGCGGTATGATCCCAATTTATATTGGCTATTCAGTTGGGGGCGTAGCGTTAGTGAGTCGACCCTAAATAAAAAAAATAAATTTATTTGAATAATAATTGTCAAATTATAAAAAGAATGAACAATAACACGATAATAATGTCTGAAGTATCATTATTTCGAAGTTCTGAGGTAGATTTTGGGTGTTCTGTGGTGTTCTGTGGTATTCTGTGGTGTTCTGTGGTAAAAAGACGCTCCCACGAAATGAAGCACAAGTTGATTGTAATATATCCCTAATCCTACAGCTTTCCCTAGTAATTCATACCATGCAGGTCTCATTAGTCCTTTTATTTTTTTTATGTTTTCTTACATTACAATCATGAACTAGAGACATATATGGCAATACAGCAATCCATCAACATATTCATACCAGAGGACTATAGTAGCATATCAGTCAGTGGTACAACGATTTTGAACTTATCGCAAACTGAATCAAATCGAAAGAATACGACAAAAATAAATATGTATGGCCCGTTACAAATTTGTTTAGACAATAAAATGTCAGTGTGAGTAGTTACTTAATACTTTATGAACAATAAGTTAGGCCAAACTGGCCAGTACAGTATATCTTGGGAGCTCCAAAATCGATAAAGAACAACACCAAAGGCCTTTCCGCTTTATCAAAAAACAAAATTGAATCCATTTTTTTCTTAACGATCCCTGCCAAGTATTTGAATTTTATTTGAAAAATACCGAGCACGCAAAATAAGCATTTGAAAAATTGTAAAATTAAATAAGCAGAACACGTTGAACGAGGCACCTGTCTTGCACGACTGAATGTCAAATAAAAAAGTAAAAACACGTTGAACGTGAAATAAAAAACGGCGATCACGAAAATAACCCTTTACCACCCTCATCGTAGGTGGGGCATAATAATTTTAGTCCGTCAATTTACATTATCTTTACTAAATCAATTTGGGTTTTAAGATATATCATTTTAGGCCTTCCCGCCAACATCTGACGTCATGTATACCAAATGAAAGGTAACAGTTGACTGTGCAAATATGGAACAGAACGGGCTAGTTCCTAACAAGAAACAACGACTGATAGCGAAAAAGCCAGTGACTGTTGTTTTAGGTACTCAGTGGGGAGATGAAGGAAAGGGAAAGATTGTCGACATGCTTGCATCAGATGCGGATATCTGTTGTCGTTGTCAGGTGCGTTTTTTTGCAGTTTATCAATACTCATGTTACTGTTTTCGCAAGGTCACATGAAAAGAAATTGAATATTGGCTTATTTTTTATGCTGCTCAAATGTTTTTCCCTAACACATCTAATAATTCGACTGGAGCCTTTGGTAAACAAAATGTCTGGAAAGGTCATTACGCTAGTTGCAAAGGTTTGTCTTGTTACCACAAATAAGCTATTTTAATTTTTTGCTGTGACGATGGCATCACAGCCAAAGGGTCTCACTAATTGGCGACAAGAAGCGTCAAGAAGCATAATTTTAGCGACAAGAAGACTATTTAGCGACAAGAAAACATATTTTTTTTATTAAGATTACTTATTCCAAATAAATATTAAAAATTATGCATTTAATTTTTTTTTAATATATGGGCAGAAATAAATTGATTATTTTTTTTTGAGAGATGAAGAAATTAAACATTTGTGAGGAAGAAAGGGATTATGTAGTTTTTATTATTATATTGATAGATGAAGAAATTAAACATTTGTGAGGAAGAATGGGATAACGAGGCCCGTGTCCCTTGTTTTATCGCTACAATAACATCCAATTACAAAATGTAACACCTTCAACTTTGTACACGCGTCAGACTATACAATTACACGCGACAGAATATACAATCATTGTAAATAGTGAACACCTGTTGAAAACTCAAGATTGTCATTATTTTCCTTCAATCTTCAATCAACATTAAACTAAGCATAAACATGATAAATATTGTTAAATGAGGCAATACACAAAATAAAATGATGAAAAATATTCACATCTTAATTATGTTTTCCTCTTGTTTGATTTCAGTTCTTTGTATTTCACAATTTGTGTCTGTATTTTCTGGACAATGATGCACAAATAATGCATTTTGCAAGTTTATTATATATTGTACAAAGAGAGTTTTAAAAACAAATTATAAGATAAATATATTATTGTTCTAAAACACAAGTAAAATTAATATCATAATACGACAGGGTAAACGTTATACTTGCTTTATACATAATAAATAATAAAATATCTAACACAAATAAATGTCGCAATTAGATCTATGTTTCAAAATTTTTTTCTATCTATTTATTGATAGAATATTATTTTTCTTGTCGCTAAAATTGTTTTCTTTTGCATATTCTTTTAATATTTATTTGGAATAAGTAATTTTAATAAAAAAAAATGTTTTCTTGTCGCTAAATAGTCTTCTTGTCGCTAATTAGTGAGACCGCAGCCAAAAAATAAAATAGACTTTCCAGACGTCATTATTATTTAGACTACCACAGATATTCCACAGACCACCAAATTTATATGTTGATATATATTCATAATTTTATTTTTTTCCCCGGTCATGGTAGTATGATATCCTGAAAAACTCCCAAAAACTGATTAAAACCAATGAAGTTGAACTGATAGACATTAGTCGAAAACTTGTATATATAGTGTAATACTGCTTATATCGATATTAAAGGCTTCCGATATATATGTCACTTTTACTTGATAAAAGTATACCGTAGAAAGGCTTGTATAGTTCGCACTGGTACATAGTCCGCACCCCCTTCTCCCCACGAAATTTTAGGTAAAAAAACTTTTTGTAACTGTTAGAAAAGGTCTAATTTCAAATCCTGTGCGGTCGTTTGCGGTATTTTCTTGGAAAAACCTGTTTTCCATCATCAAACAGAAGCTGAAACTGCTTGTAAATGATTCTAGAACGCTTCATGATTGTTAAAATAAGTTTAATTCACTTAAAAAACAATTTAGAAACTTGTGTTTGTTTAAACAGGAAGTTTCAAAAGCACGTGTAAAAGAAGAAATTAACCGGTGAGAGTCGAAATCCGTACATAACAGATATCACTATAATACGACTTTGAAAGTAAAACAGTTCCATCCTTTTGTAAAACAGTCTTTAATATATCTATCACATTAATGTTTGAAGGGTCTTAAGCTAATACAAACCATATTAGTCAGTATGAACACCAAAACGGAACGAACAATAACCGATTACGTTTTGTAGTTTACAAATTCTAAGCTGGTTTACGGTTGTCTTTTTTACTATGTTTGTATCGTTTCAATCAAGTAGATACCAGTTTATTTCAACCAATGCATTGAAAAGAAACGAGAAATTTGTAATGAAAGATTTAGTTTTTATATTTTTCAGTATTAATTTGATATTGAATAGAAATAACTTATTAATATGGATGAGTTAAAATTATTAGTTTGAAAAATGATAAGAGCGGCCTCTACAATATAAATAACAAAGATGGCGGAACGTAAACAAACCACCTCGCCCGCGAAATTGAAATTTTTCTCTTATTTCTTGCTTATTGTACTCTATAGTCCGCACCCCGTCTGGAAGGTCCAATTTTGGAGAATAAAACCGCGGACTATACAAGCCTTTCTACGGTATTTGAGATTTCCTTAAAGGGAAACTCCATAAAAAAATGAAAAATTGATATTTTGTTCTTTAAGCATAATAAATCACATGTTCATAAATAAAAAAGTTATATTCTCTTGGTAAAGATATCAAAATCGATTTTTGAAATTGACTATCAGTTCTCGACATGCCGCCATTTTGTCGGCATCCCCGATTTAAAAACTCACGAGATATCTATAGACCACAAAGTACCAAAAGAATCGGGGATTTACCGACCGTGCATTAAAAACTCCCATCATCAATCGGGGATTACCGTAGTCGTCATTCAGTGTCAAAATGTCTTGTCATATATAGGATAATTCCATATTTATACAAGATTTTTTTAATTAATAAAGTTATACGTCGGATGAATAACATTTTTTTTATTATGATAATTAACAGCTAATAACAAGGAGCAGTGTTAGGAAGAGGTTTAAGCTGGGACATAACATGTTGATATAGTATAATATTCCCAGGATATATCAGGGTTTGACACTAACTTAATGTATGTTCTAGCCTGCAGGGCTAGTGAAATTATTAATGTACTAGTCCTCTTATCAAATCACTAGCCCTCCGTTGGCACGACCCTATCTAGGAGGGTTTGGGGGCATGCCCCCAGAAAATTTTGATACAAATGAAGCAAAATCCTGTGTTCTGGAGCATTTCCAGAGGGTTTTGAACATGTTTTGTTTCATGAAATTTCACTGGTTTGCTAATAAAAATTACCAAAAAAAAAACAAATTTCATATTTTAATCATCTATATTAAGAATGTGTTTAACTTATTTTGAAGACCCCTTTAGATCATTACTTCATCATCCTCCTCATTGTACTTATCATTATTACTAGTGTATTTAATGAAGATGGGCAAGTAAGGGATTTACAAATACACCAACAAAAGAGGAAAGGTTTGCCCTTGCTGTTTTTTGTCATAATTCTTCATGGACATCTTCTTTTCCCTTGTTGTTTGTCAGTTGTTTTTTTTTTTGCAGGACGAAATTTTATTCCTAAAAATCTGTATATTACCAGAGTCCTTACAATAATTTAGTCAGTGATATTGTTTGCCTCAAATTACATCCGAAATACAGCTTTTTCCCCTAAAGAAAATTCCCATTTACTAAAAAAAATGGCTTAAAATTCCTCCCAATAAGTTGTACAATTTTCCCAAACAGTGATGGCATCGGTAGTAATGGATGTAAATTTCGTTGTCATGTTATTATTTTGATATTCTGAAAGCAATTTTGAGATCCAGGTTTCTGATCAGAATCATCACAGTGTTTGTAACACACGTGGTTTTCAATGTATTAAGTACCATCATTGTTTCAGTTTCTTTCCCCTCCCCAAAAAGTACCTTTCATGTTAAAAATGTCTGATAATCAAAATATATGTGAATAAACTGTACAACAAAGACAGCAAAGGTCAGCAAAAAATGTGGGATTTGTTGACAATTAACATTTTGTAAAATTCCTAGTTATAAACAAAATGTTGACTAGCCCGTCAGACTACTGTGATGAAAACTTTACTAGCCCTCCCTAATTTTTACTAGCCTCGGGCTAGCGGACTAGCGTTAGTGTCCAACCCTGTATATAAATGTCGGAATATCGGACATCTCAACTTTTATCATATATGGTGTGTTTTATTAAGTGTTTTTATACGACCGCAAAAAAATTTTTGTGGTCGTATATTGGTATGACGTTGGCGTCGTCGTCGTCGTCGTCGTCGTCGTCGTCCGGCGTCGTCGTCCGAATACACATTAGTTTTCGCACTCTAACTTTAGTTTAAGTGAATGGATCTCATTGAAATTTTACCATAAGGTTCAATACCACAAAAGGAAGGTGGGGATTGATTTTGGGGGTTATGGTACTAACAGTTAAGGAATTAGGGGCCAAAAGGGGCCAAAAATAAGCATTTTTGTAACTTCCAGACATAACTTGTGTGTAAGTGTATGGATCTCTCTGACATTGTACCACAAGGTTCCATATCACAAAGGGAATGCTGGGATTGATTTTGGGGGTAATTGTCTCCAAATTTTAGGAATTAGGGGCCAAAAAGGGGCAAAAAACAAGCATTTTTCTAGTTTCATGACAATAACTTGTTTGTAAGTGTATGGATCTTTATGAAATTGTACTACAAGGTTCCATATCACAAAGGGAATACTGGGATTGATTTTTGGGGTAATTTCCTCCAAATATTAGGAATTAGGGGCCAAAAAGGGGCAAAAAACAAGCATTTTTCTAGTTTCATGACAATAACTTGTTTGTAAGTGTATGGATCTTTATGAAATTGTACTACAAGGTTCCATATCACAAAGGGAAGGCTGGGATTGATTTTGGGGGTTTTCCCTCAAAATTTTAGTAATTAGGGGCCATAAAAGGGCAAAAAAAACATGCATTTTTCTAGTTTCAGGACAATAACTTGTGTGCAAGTGTATGGATTTTATGAAATTGTACTGCAAGGTTCCATATCACAAAGGGAAAGCTGGAATTGAGTTTGGGGGTAATTGCCCTAAACGTTTAGGAATTTGGGGCCAAAAAGGGGCCAAAAAACAAGCATTTTTCTAGTTTCCAGACAATAACTTGTGTTCA